GGTAAAGTTAAATGGTATTACCTTTAAATAAGTACATTTTGTAAATAAAAGTGCTACTCTTTTAGTCTGCATAATGAAACAATTTCCAGGGTGACATATCAATTTGATTATTTAAAACTTTTGGTAAAGTCATTTTCCACATCATACTTTAAGAACACGCATATATAAATATTTTTTTCAGAAAAAATGAAATTTTTGCAATACTAACCATATACGGAAAACAGTGTTTTATATAATTATATATATATAGTTATAGCAGATACAGTTTATTTCATTTTGGTATTGAATTTTTCAAACATTTTACCAGTTTTATGATCTCTAATGTTTAACAGTGTTAAGTATTGTATAAAGCTGTGACATAAGTCTGTACCAGTTCGAGTTGTTGTATTTTAGTTGAATCAGTCAAAAATATATAAATATACCCTAATATGAAGGACTGAACTAACTTTCAAGCCTTGCAATTACGGTAGTTTGACAAAACATGGCAAATTAAAAAAAAACAGGGTGACCCATATTTTTCTTTGCATATTTTTCAATGATAAACGCTCCTACATCCTTAACTACGGAATACTTTTTGTTTCACTATCAAATAAGAATGAAATTCATTTCAAATTTCTAACATTTCTAAACAGTAAGGTGGTTAACAAAATTCGAATTCATAACTTTGAAATATTGTTATATATTTGAAGGCACAATAGTTGATACAATGACGAACCTGGTAGCAGAGTTTCATATTTCATTAATTAACATTCAATTTGGTAAGTTTTACATAGTTTGTAACTGTGCACAATGTAACCAATGAAGAGAACATAATTTTGAAGCAACATAATGGGAAAATAATGAGAATTAATAACAATTAAATATTTTCCACAGAAAATAATTATTTAAATCTTTATCTTAATAATGAACATTTTCTTTTTAAATCACGGTGTGTTTTGTTAAAATTTGTGCAACGAAAGCTTCAAATTGTTCGACTACCGAATTTAATTGTGCATTGTAGGATTATCTCTGCAAGCTTGTGCAGAAGAGTGTGTGTGCTGTTACCATGGACAACACTTTTGTGATAGTAATAAGAACTGTATATACGGATGTAATACAGGTTAATATGGTCAGAAATGCATTGAACAGTGTCCTGATAATTGTAAAACATGTGTGAATGACATTGAATGCACAGAATGTAAACCTGGTTATTAAACCAACAATTGTTATTTACAATGTGGACAGTAAATGTTCAAAATTATCAGGGGAATGCCCTTGTAAGTCGGCAGATTTTGTCAAAGGTAAATGTGATGTCTGCTCGGGATTAAGGTATGGTGATGAATGTAATAAATCATGTCCTAGTAACTGTGGTTCCTGTATATCAGATACAGAATGTTTATGGTGTAAACACACGGTTTATTACGGCTCATATTGTCAGTACACTTGTTTGGTGGGTTGTATTGATATTAATATGTACAATCAAGCAACTGTTTTGTCCACAAAACTTAGCATTTCATGTTTAATTTTGGATGGGGCGTCCGTTGCCGAGTTGTAAGTGTCATTGATATCAAATGTCTTGCCCTTCGTGGTTGTGGTTCCGTTTTCTTCCAAGGACTTTACATTTTGTTTCATGTGATGAAGCTATCAAACTAACTAACGGTACATCGGTGGTTATACACAGATGCCAGTTTGTGTGAGAAATAATGCGCTGATGGGCATCTTAAGCTTTCCTCCACCAGTAAAGTTAAAACGCGCCATATGAGCATTACAGTGTTGGTCCCAACGAAAGTAAAAAACGATTAAATTTGAATGTTATATAAGCAAGAGATGAAGCATTTGCGGTTAAGTATCGATGGCATATCGATGTGCGAGAAATATCGTTCGAGTTAGACATTATCAAGTCATGACCACTTAACTGTCCCACAAACATTGACAAAATATATCTAGAACACAAAAAATACTTTTAACGTGAGTAGAATTTGGAAACATTAAAATAAAAAAAAACCAGAACTTTCCTTAAATACGAGGGTTGTCCAAAAAGTTCGTGCACTGCAGTTATTGTCGAGAGATTTATTAATGAAAACAAATAAATTATATATCACTTGAAAGAGGAATCTGTCTCAAATAAGAAAACAAAAGAAAAAGTCGAGTAACCGGCGTGTCGTGTAAAAGAATGGTCATTGAGTTACCTTAGTAACGTAGTACCGGCGCACGACAAAAAATTGGGTTAGTTCATTACTGTAATTGTATTAATTGTTTGTTGCTTGTAAAGTGGTATTTTCTATTTATGTTATAATTTGTTTTACTGTCAATAGAGGAATGATTGATGCAAAGTATTGTGTTGTTTTTATTGTTTTTATGCAACGAACATGTAGCATATTCCACCAGTGCAGGAATATATTGAATAACCCTCGTCGCATGCGCCGGCATTACGGACGGACGTCTGCCTGACCGGTTGTCATCATCTACCGCCTCTCTTTCTCTTCCACAGAGCGTTTGTGCCATTTAAAAATCAGCCTTCGTGACACTGAACTTGTCCTGCTTGCACTTTTAAGTTCTTTTTAGGTATCTGTTGGTGTTTTACCAATTTCTGCAAAAAATATAATGATCGTCCGTATTTCGGACGTTTAGCGACCGAAATTTTCACGTAATTACAGTATTGACGACCACACAGAAATTTTTGTTTACGACTGTTACAATAAAGCAAATGACTCCATATTTTCTAGTGACTTTAGGAATACGTACACACACTTTTCCCTGAATTTTAACGTTAATATGTAGTGTTTAAAGAATACCGTGATGTATCAAAGCAATGAACTAACCTAATTTTTTGTCGTGCGCCGGTATTACGTTACCAAGGTAACTGTATGACGATTCGTTTTCAGGACATGCCGGTTACATGTTTTTGTCTATTGTTTTCTTATTTAAGATATATCTCCCCTTCAAGTGATATATAATTAATGTTTTTCTATCAATAACTCACACGACAATAACTGCAGGGCACGAATTTTTTGGACAACCCTCGTATATATCCTGTTTCCTACTACCTAATTCCACGCAAAACTATAATGTTCGTACTTTTTCCAGTTTAAACGTAAACATAATTTAATTTTGTATTGCGACGGCAGATGGTGTCATGAGTGTATGATTCATATACAAATGTAAAAGGAAGTATGTGCTTTTCAATAAAATCCCCTGCTTACTGGTATTCTAATATTAGGACTGAAAATTTCTCTTCTCGGATCACAGATTTACTTAACAGGTACGTTTTATCATTTGAAATATTTAATGGTTGATATTTATTATTTAATGGTTGAAAAAACATTATATGTGTACAAGTGAAATTCTTATATTTGCATAGTTTTGCCATAAAAATGAATGTGTATGGACAATAAAGTGCATTTGCGAGGTAAGTTTATAAACCGCTATAACATCTCTTCGCTTTGCAGGATTGTTCGCCATTTACACTAGCTGTTATAGAAAGTATTGATGCATCGAGTGAAATCGATTATAAATATTCTAAATTGCATGTTGAGTTCGCGTCAAGATGTGTGAATATAAATCATAAATAAATAATATTTGTAATAATAAAATTATATGTTCATACATTCGCACTGTGCTATATTTGATGAATTTGTAATAAATCAAACATTTTAAACAATCCAATTTATTATTTAATTGATTTTTATTTAAATCATCACCATAGTATTGAAAAGAAACTTTTGGTTTTTCTTTTTTATCCTGTATACGTTGTTTATTTATATTGTATTGAATGAAATAAAAGAAATAGTATTTTGTCGTTTATTGCCAAAACTTATGTTATATAAGATATATTAATCAATGAATGTTTTTGTTTTGTTTTTGTTTTCCAAATACAATCTGATGAGATTTGAACAATTCCTACATTGCGCCAGGGAAAGAGAAAAAACAACACATCTGAAGAGAACAGTCACACATTTTTCATATTTGTTTAGGATCGTGAGTATTTAATATATATAATTTGATACTACAATTTTGTAGATTAACCATATACCTACAAAAATGTCGTTACATGTCCTTTTTTCGCCTTTTAAGAAACTTGATTTCAGTTGATAGTAATAGTGATATATGTGCACATTTCATTATTTCACATAAAGTAGCAATACTTTAAACTTGAACTGCTATTTTTCTTTTGAAATTATTTTGACAGAACGGGTATAAGAACATTTCACAAACAGTATATTTACATTGCTTTACAATCTAATTCATTTGAAGATTCTTTTGGAAGTGCAATGACAGGATTTGCACATGTATTTCTGTTTACAGTACTCCAAATTGGTTAGACAACACTATATGTAAAACAGATTAAAATTAAAAAATAGATAAATACAGAATCCCTAAAGAAAGCCCAACAAGGCAAAATTGAAAATGTTGCAGGCTCGGTTTGATTGAGCCTGTTCATGGACGGCACTGGAAGGTGCAAATTACCGTCCACGCCCCCTAGCACCGGCTTAAGCAGAATTCAACATTTAAACATGAAATAGTAAAAATTTGAATTTAGAAACATCCGCAGATGTGTTCATACGGCGATTATCATGGAACCTTCAATGTGACACTTCCGTGCCATTCCATGAAAAGCGGCGTATGGTCCCCAAGTAATAAAAAGCGTGTGCCCTAAACGAGAAAACAATGGGCGGAACTAAATAAAATGGAATTTTGAAAGGGGATCAGAGGTTATGAAGCCTGCGTATCACAGATAAGACGTCAAAAGACAAATTTAAAAAGCAGGCAACATATCCTTAGGGTGATTCAACATTATTCAAGTAGGAATATTGGAACCACCCAACTTCTTAGAAAATGCCGAAAAGTTGAAACTAAGAATACCACAAGCACAACAATAATGTCGTGCTGAACGATCTTCAAGGATCGAAAATATAACACCATTGATTAAATGTACGGGGAGACTTTTTACAGCCTCCACACGGCACAAATAACACGGATGTGATCATAAAATAGATAAATAAAACATTAAGGAACATAATCGTTTAAGGCCCCCGAGAGACGGCATATAGCAATTGAATTGTCCGTCCTTCATCATTCCGTCCCTCCGTCCGGTAATCTTATTTATCATTCATCTCCAAAACCGCTGGGGATTTCAGCGAAACTTCAAAAATGGTTTGTAACCATGCCCAGATGTGCACAGTATCTTGATTTTCCGCTTGCATTTTTTGTCACACGTATTGCCCCTTAATTGGCAATTTTCGAGTAAACTAAGCTTGTCCGTGCTTCATCACCAAAGCGCTGGGGAATTTCAATAAAATTTCACGGGATTGTTTTTCAGCAAGCCTTGTTGTGCATACTCTCTTAAGATTCTACTTGATTTTTTGGCATAGTTATGGCCCCTTAATGGTCTATTTCTGAGGACACTGAGCTTGTCCATGCTACAACTCCAAAACCGCTGGAGGAATTTCAGTGAAACTACACAGGATTTTTTTGTTTGCATAGTATCTTGATTGTCCGCTTGAATTTGTTTCGCCCTTGGTGATGTTTTTTTTAGTAAATTCTTTTAGACTATTTCTCCTACACTTATAATTAAATTTCAAATAAAGGAATGATATTTATCAAACAGCAGTTCGGCACATATTACCGGTATTTTGGCATAAATTGCGGATTTTTTTGTCGTCAAAATTTCACTATGGGGGCATAAGTCACTTTTCAGGAACAGCTCTTGTTTCAGCAATGTATCCATGATAAAAAATGAAAAAGAAGTTGAAATGCGTGGTTTTATGTATGGTTGTTTTAATTTGTTTAAGTAATTTAAAATCATACAGTGTTTTTTTAAGGATTATCGGTGCAGACGTGTCAAGAATGCGGCTGCTGCGAAGGTGGGCAACTCTCTTGTGATTCAAATAAGAATTGTATTTATGGATGTTTAACTGGCTATTATGGCAAGAAGTGCACAGAGAAGTGTCTAGAAAATTGTAAAAGCTGTGTAAATGGTTATGAATGCACAGAGTGTCGACCCGGTTATTATACCAACAAATGTAATTTACTATGTGGGAAAGGTTGTGTTAACAATACATGCTCAGTTTCATCAGGAGAATGTTCTTGTAAATCGGCTAATTTTGTCACAGATAAATGTGATGTTTGTTCGGGAAAAAAGTATGGTGATGAATGTAATATAACATGTCCTAGTAACTGTGGCTCTTGTACAACATAAACAGAATGTTCATGGTGTCAACACACTGCTTATTACGGATCATATTGTCAGTACAGGTGTTCGATTTGTTGTTTCGATGGAAGATGTAATAAAGGAAATGGATACTGTCATAAAGGATGCAAACTTGGTTTTGTCGGGAATAAATGTGACATGTGCTCGTTTGGTTCATACGGAACCTTTTGTGATTTAAATTGCACAGATAACATTTGACATGTTTTTCGGACACAAACTGTATATATTGTGCAAGAGATACAGGAGCCTGTTTACATGGATGCAAATCCGTTTTAAATTACGGGGATTATTGTGAGAAGCAATGTAGTGATACTTGCAACAATAGAAGTTGCGACTGGAAAACGGGTCAGTGTTTGGAAGGATGCGTGACGAACTATTATGGATCGTTTTGTGACACTTCATGCCCTTTTTCGTGTTTACCCAATAACGACAAACTTGTATGTGATGAAATAAATGGACGCTGTTTACTGGGTTGCAGAGATGATTTCTATGGCAATAAATGTAACAACAAATGCAGCAGCCTATGTGTTTACACTACTTGCAACCAGATAAAAGGGGAATGCTTGTACGGATGTATACACGGATTTAAAGGGCCGAAATGTCTTGAAGGTAACTTAACAAATACGAATGCAGCAAAAAGAATTGATTTTCAGTAGCTTAGGCAATAGAAACAAGCATTTGCAAGTTAACAGGTTTAATGTCGTCAATAAAATTACGGTTTCAACTTTTTTACATGCTCTCCATATTAAAGTTATCGCTTTAGCAAATCTTTCCAGGATATCAACTGAATTCTTTGTGTTAAAGCAATTATTTTCGTCTTAATCTTTAATTTTGAATTATCTATATTTTTCTAGCAATAATTCTTGAGAGAGAAGGCTACAGCAAAGGAACGCTAACAGGTTCTATATTGGGTTCATTTCTAGCTGGTGGTGTTGTTGCAGTAGCAGCTTTATTTGCCTTCATAACATGGAGGCGGAGGTTTGTAGCTTTTAATACCTCTTGATATGAAAATATTAGGATTTATTATATGTTCCGTTGTATTCTGATTTATAATGTGAAGTTTCCGGCACATTTCTATTATTTGTTGTAATTTGCAATATTACCACTTTAAGTATTGTTTAGCAATTGTTTTCCTTTTTTTCTAGGTTTGGAAATAGACAAACAGAAAATACTTCAGCTTCTGGAAAATATCGTTCGTATAGTAGTACTTAAAAAGTACTTATCGTTGGCACATTGTTTGATATACATTCATATTTAAATAAAAACTGAATCCCAGGAAGATAACTCAGACATAATGTTCTATACTTCTGTTTATACAATTAAGAATTATTCCATGAGATAGTATCATGGACGTCTGATTCTATATAAGTTAGTCAAATCTAATATTTGTTTAATTGCTACATAGAAATTATGCCATGATAGTGCCTTTTATGAAATTATTGTGTGTTTTTTCGGCCGTTAGATAACTTTAACAATTCAGAATTCTTCATTTATCATACAGATATCACACATGACGACGGCTCTCCTGTTGCATACGAAGATTTTAATTCACGTGTCGAGATATCATACAGTCAGATTTCTACAAATCAACAGATATCACCACCAGAAGCTGTTTATGTAAACACTAGATTTTAATTAACTACTAATATTGACAATGATGTTTGTGACAAATGAATCCTTAAGTAGTTTAAATAATTTTGTTTATTTAATAATGCAGATGCTTTTCAGCAAGTGAAACTGAAGACAGTATTTTTATACCATAAATACAAAATACATTTTTATATTTAAAGTGATATGGTTGGTATGCTAGTGTTTCTATTGACTATGCAACTTTAAACATTGTAAAGATGGTAACAATTTGAAAGCAATGTGTATTCTGATCGATCAAATATGTCTGTTTTAATTCTTTTTTATTTGGTTATCACTTTTTTTGTGTTACAACTTTTTGTGTGTTTTCGACTTTGCTTATTCATATAATAAAAAAAAAATATTGACTAGTGAGCCATTGAATATGATGTGATATTCATTGGCGGAAAATCATATTCATGGCTCACTTGTCAATAATTATGTAATATCGCTGCAGCAGTCCATGAATTATTATTTGGATTTATTTGAATGTGTAGTTGTGAATGATTAAAGATATAGATATATACAAGAATCATTACGAAATAAAGAAAACCTGTGATAGTAATGAATCGTTTAATTGTAATCTTATTGTTCTACTAACTACTGAAACACATATAAATGAGTCTTACAAATAACAAAAACTACTCGTACTGAGGGCTTCAAAACGATGTTTGTAAGATATTATGGTTATTATCTGAGACAATCTTATATTACAATTCAATATACATGCAATTTCTAACATATTTGCACGTGCAGACATATTATCAAAATCAAGACAATAATTCACCAGTGTGCTACTATTTTACGGATTTTCATCATAATTATTTGTGCAACTTAATAACTTTTATGGGCAAAATAGATCAATACGTTATCTTTCAAAGACATCAAACTAGGTAAATAGTAATTACATAACAAATTTGTTTTCATACATGTTAGATCTACAATGATATAATCCACATCTTTTAATTAAATTATATTCATCACGATAATACGTAATAGAAAAAAAAAACAATTATATTTTAGTCAAATTCTATCATATTATACATACCCATTATTAGTGTTGTATATAGAGAAATAGTTTTCTTTCCAAAATTAGAGTAAAAACTATATATAGCTCATAAAATACAATTTAATGTAAAACTATGCATTTTAAAGATTCTCAATAATGTAAATCATGCATTTACCAATAATTCAAGTAAAAAAAATAATAATGATATTTCTATAAAGCTTAGTTAAAACAAGCACACTTTCATGATCTAACTAAAATTGCTAAAATTGTGAAACATAGTTTTCTATAAAATCGTCTGTACATAACATTGTATATTTTTTATTTATTTTTTGGAAAAAGTAAACATGCACAGGTTGTAGAACATTGCAAGAAAAGATATAAATATATCAACCAAAGCATGCTCCCTAAAAGCTTCACTTGAGATAAACATAAGTGGCATATCTATATCTATAAAGACCTTAGCAACCAATGTTTTATGTCTGAATTTATCATTTCTAACATACAATACATTAGAATAGTTTATAGATAAAATCACTGAATGTAAACTCATATAATGTATTTAAAATTTAAAGCAATATTTAACGTATGAAATTAACATAACAAGTACTTATCATATAACAAAATCAAAACCATTCGAAATTCGAATTCAACGTAGTTAAGCTTAATATGTAAACTTCATTGTGATTAATACACCTAAAGGAGTAATGCTAACTATATCAAGTAAATAATGTTTTTGTCAATGATTAGTCAGTATCTAGTTCACAAAAATCATAGTCATTGTTTCCTGGTCGCATTTTTTTATCGGTTGCAGTGTCATATAATGTATTAGCTTTGTCATTTCCATTGTCTCCGTTGATGGAATTAAATACAGCATAATCGTTGCTTGGACAAGGCATAGTTTTGTGTTTCCCTCCTTCTGCAAAGTCGTAAACATCATCTGGTTCTGCAGCCAGGTTTGATTTGCCGAAGCCTAAAGTGATGTCAGATCTTACACTGAGTACGGCATAGTCATTATTGCTATTAAAATGATGTTTGTTCTTTTTATTGTAATGCGTTGTATCGTACATTTCCTCAATACATTCGTTTTCTTTCACAGTCGACTTCCCTTTGTTTACCACAGCATAATCATCGTTGCCACTTGACGGTTTGTTACTGTGTTCAATATCACAAACCTCAAAACTCTTGTTTTTCTCATTGGCAGATGTTCCTATGTTAACCGCAGTATAGCCATTGTCAATAGCAGATATATTTTGATCATCGTCATATTCAGTGTCATATTCTTTCCGGGCATCACCGCCAGCTTCCTGTTTTGATTTGAAAGGTTTGGCGTATATAACACCTGGAATAAACGACATTAAATGGAGTATTATACATGTATATAACACAAGAGATACAAAATAAGTGGAAAAATAATCAGTATAAAAATGTTTCTCCAAACAAGTAATGCTTCTCCACATTCTTTGTATTGTTTTTATTAGTGAAAAATTGAATTTCTTAATGTACTTTATAAGATGTTGGATAATTAAAGAAAGAATTATAGAATGTAAAACATAAACATTTCAACAAACCTGCTACGTATTCGTCAATTTGTTTCGGAATCTCTTTCATATCAAGTACGTAATTGTTTTCCTCGCATTTTGTATGAGCGGATAGATTGTGTCTGAAAGAAATGTAAGCCGAAAATGACTTTGTTTAATTTCTTAATATAAACACATAAACATAACCTTTATAACACTGCACGTTTCATAATCCGCAAAAAGTCTAACACTAGAATTTGTTTTCATATTTTACTTTTATCCGAATACTAAAATTTTGACTCGCGTTAAATTTTGCTTTTAATTATGAGTTAAAAAGAATGTGCTTTGTCAAAGAGGAAACATCAGGTTAAAATTAACTAATTGAATAATTATATATATTTATTTCGAAATATATACTTTAACCAATCCAACCATAGTGAGTACCTTCGATTCCGTTTTATAAGACAAATTACTAGGTTCAACAGCAAGACTATAACAACAACACCAGCACCAGCAGATGATGCTATAGGATCAAGTGGTTTCTTTTATTCCTATTGAGAACCTTTGATGGCTTAAGTAAATAACAAAACATTCAAATTGTTTGCATTCAATTGCTTTTTTATCTATGGAAATGCAAAAATGATACAGCCATACAAGGCGTCTTAAAACGTAGTAGGACTGTGGCTTTACTGTTTACATCTTTTAATTTATGCACACAATTTTACAAGACAACGTCTCCTCTTTATTCTGTGAACAAATCAGATAATGTTATTAGAAAAAATAGTAACTTTTTACTAAGAAAACATGAAATTACGTGGTAGTATGATCAAAAATATAATATCTACATTTACCCTGAACACATTTCAGTCCTACAAATCCGTCAGTGCATCATTATGGACATTCGTCTGTAACTTGGTTGCAAATTGCATTTTCACAATGACTTCTGCATTTTTTGTCACATTTTTTCGCCAAGAAATCCGTCTTTGCATCCAAATATGCAATACCTATTCATATCATCACATATGCGTTTACTGTCATTTGATTGACACTTATCAGGACATTTGTTGTTGCACAAAGTAGTTTATTTTACACCCTTCTAAGCTGTGTCCTGTTTTCAAGTGGCAACTTTGATTATTACCATCACAACCAGTGGAACAGATATCTGTACATGTTTCGCCATAAACACCTGGTTTACATTCATAACAATTGTTCGCAAATAAACATTTTGAACATTTTCTGTGCAATTCAAATCACAATAAGTTCCGTTGAAACCAGACGAGCACATATAATAAAAATATAATTTTCAATGACAAGACTATTTTTTAAGTTTTTTCAAATGTGGTACCTCAATTTTATTTTTGCTGACAATTCTGACATTGCTTGGGCTTTTTAGAGAAAAGCAAAGCTAAAATTGATAAATAATTTAAATCTAAATAGATGTAATATAAGGAAAAAACTTCAAATTCACAATCACCACATATCAAATACTATCTCTAAATTTTTGCTACATTTTACATTCTGAAATAAAAAAAAACGCTTCTTTCCACATGCCATGCAAAACTGCTATTGATGGCATTTGGTTTGACATTTGGGCATATTAAAGTATTCTGTAAAGTAAAGTATTAAAATACAATGACAGTCATCAGCCCGAAGAATAAGTAAACAGGCCAGCGTTCATAAGACAGCCTTTCAACAATTTCACGTTTTCATAATAACTAACCGCTTTTTGAATGTTTACACACCTGTCAACAAATATTTATTGTCTAAAACAATCCTCTTTCTTATAAACATGACTAACAAATCTAAATAATATCCCTCTGAATAAAACACAATTATTTTCCTCCCGCGAAATACACCTCTTTTAAAAATGGCGGCCATTTATATTACCCAAAGTCTGGTCTAATATAAATTCGCCGTAAATAACAAAAATAAGGTCAGATTGTGTTTTATTATTATTAAAACAAGCGATCATTCATGTTTTTGGAATAAAATAAATGACATCATCGCCATTTTACGTTGAGTGTCGTATTCGATGAAATATAATTCATCTTACACACAAACAAACATATTCTCTATATCTTTCTAACACTTATTTAATATTTTAATAAAGGAAAATTCGAATATATTAAAAATGCATCTTCAAACACATATTCAGTTTAAATTTAATTTCAAAAACGTTTTTAAAAAGTGCAAATTTTAAGATAGGATAGATTCGAAATGTTAGATTTTATGTATCGTTTTCAATTTTTAATAAAGAGCTTGAATTTTAAGTATATGATCTACTGTTTACAATCGAAATAGTGACAAAATAAAAATTATAAATGTAATATGCCTTTGTTAGACTTGATATCAAAGTGGTCCAAGGGGTCTTCCTTCTCCAACGCTTTTATTGTATCTGCAGTTAACTACCTCTTTGATGAATAGTTTTGAAAAGCACAAATCATACTTCCTTATTGCAATTCATTCGAGATGGGGCGTATCTTTATATTTCAAACTGTACTAAATTACAAACCATAAAGTCAAAACATTAAAAAATGATAAGGGATAATATTACGACGAAACGAACTAAACGTAGCTTGAAAAGGCAAAGAGAAGTGGAAAATAAACAAAAATACACCTTGCGGTGTATTTTATTTATATTGTAATGATTATAATATTGTTGTTGTTTTTTTCAGATTTTTTATTCGTAAATTAGTTATTGTATCATCATTATTTAAGGTACCCTCGGATCCATGCATATATCTCTCTGAATTATTCCACAAATCGTTGGTCTTTATCAAATTGAGTTTAATCTTATGTATATCGGATGTTAAAAAGGAAAAACAGAAACATATATATCTTTTGGTAAAACTCATTTTTTTTTTTTACTTTGGAAGAGGCGACGTTCTAATAGTGAAATAGTACTTCCATTTTTTTACAATAACATTATGGCCATACACTTTGGGAAATAAATTAACACTATAAACCAGCTTTAAAATTTAGGCTGGTTTAAATTTAGAGCAAGCATCATTTAAATAACAAGAAGAAAGTAAGGAAAGGTGATGAAACAGTGCTTTTTGTGATTCATGTTGAAAAGTAAATGTTTTAAATGTTTCGGCATTCTGCATAAAACCAGCGTATTATAGTACATTGGAAAAATAGATAATAATGAAAATGATCTACATCTTTGGATTGTAACTTAACATGTAGTTTAAAAATCTTATTGACTAGCATAACGCATGAGTGGATTAGGAAGTGAATATCTACCTGTTTTTGAAAAATAAACGACTCTTTACCTTTTAATTCATATGTGTTGATACCAATTTTCGGATTTAAGAATTTATTTCACAAGGTATGTAACTTCTTAAAGAATATAAAGATGTATCACATAAAATATTCTTATGAAAAATTTAAAAAAGGGTATAATTATATTTGTCCTCCTTTTTATGGTATATTCTCGAAAGGATTTTACGACAGAGAGTATTTTACTTAACACATACGGATTATGTATTTAAACAGACTAGAATTATCCGGAGCAACATGATTCTGGACATGCGCAATTGACAGACATCAAGAACTTCAAATATTTTTCTGTCATAGCGGTGTTTTAATTGTTTCTTATAAAAAGAAAATAAAAATAGTAAACTAATGACAGCATATTAATAGCTTTATACTTTTTAAATAAGTTAATGAATTTCTTCATGCTTTTTAGCTCACAAGAGCCGAAGGCCCAGGGAGAGCTATAAGTATCAAAGGGGAATGTCCCGGCGTCCGTCGTCATGCGTCAACAATCGTCTTCTTCTTTGAAACTACTAAGCAGATTTACTTCAAAATTTGGTCTGTAGCATCCTTGTGACAGTCAAACTTGAATTTGCTCATGTCATTCCAATTGGCCCCTTTTAGGGGTCAGCAGGGCTAAAAATAGAAAAAAAACCTTTAAACGTCTTCTCCTACAGAACTAATGGATGGATCATCACCAAACTTTGACTGTAGCATTCTTGGTAGTCTTTTGTCAAATTTGCTCATATTAATTTGATTGGCCCCTTTTATGGGTCTCCAGGGCTAAAAATAGAAACAAACTTTTAAACATCTTCTTATACAGAACTAATGGATGGATGATCACTAAACTTAGTATATAGTATTCTTGGGTAGTCTTTTATCAAGTTTGCTCATATAAATTTGATTGGCCCCTTTAAGGGCCGCTAAAGCTTAAAATAGAAAAACCTTTAAACGTCTATTTCTACAGAACTAATTTATGGATGATCACTTAACTTTGTCTGTAGCATTCTTAGGTAGTCTTTTATCAAGTTTGCTAATATTATTTTAAATGGTCCCTTTTAGGGGTCTCTAGGACTAAAAATAGAAAAAAAAACTTTAAACATCTTCTCCTACAGAACTAATTGATGGATGATCACCAAACTTTGTCTGTAGCATTCTTGGATAGCGTTTTTATCAAGTTTGCTCATAATAATTTGATTCGCCTCTTTTAGGAAAATAGAAATATCTTTAAATGTCTATTTCTAGAGAACTAATTGATGGAATGATCACCAAACTTTGTCTGTAGCATTCTTGGGTAGTCTTTTATCAAGTTTGCTAATATTATTTTGATTTGTCCCTTTTAGGGGCATCTTAAGCTAAAATTAGAAATACATTTAAATGTCTATTGCTACAGAACTAATTGATGGATGAATACAAATCTTTGTCTGAAGCATTTTTGGGTAGTGTTTTATCAAGTTTGCTCATATTATTTTGATTGGCCCCTTTAAGGGGCCGCTAAAATTAAAAATAGATATACATTTAAACGTCTATTGCTACAGAACTAATTGATGGATGATCACTGAACTTTGTCTCAACATTATTGGGTAGTCTTTTATTAAGTTGCTCATATTTATTTGATTAGAAAAATCTTTAAACATCTTCTACTTCAGAACTAATTGATGGTTTATCACCAAACTTTGTCTGTAGCATTCTTGGGTAGTCTTTTATCAATTTTGCTAATAATAAATTGATTAGCCCTTTTAAGGGCCACCCAAAGCTAAAAAAAGAAAAAAAAATTCGAACATCATTTCCTACTGAAATAATTAATAGATGATCACCAACCTTTCTAGCATTCTTATGTAGTCTTTTTATCAAGTTTGCTCATATTAATTTAATTAGCCCGTTTAAGCTAAAGCTTAAATACCCAAGACTCATGGCATTTCTTCAAATTGTTATTTAAAGTTTAAATAATTATTTGAAGAAATGCCATGAGTTATTAAATTACACATATTCTGTGCTCAAATTTAATATTAGAATATATTGATATTCCAACACTGAAAAGCAGTTGTTTTCTGCTGAGCGACTCAGGGCCATCATGGCCCTCTTGTTTATCTTAATATTCTATAGAAAGGGGCTGAGGTCAATATTGATTAAAAAGAATATATAAAAATATGAACATTGAACATTTGCTAAAATCTATAGTGTGTGTTTGTGCATTGCATTATAATGTAGATGCACCACACCAAAAATAGTTTTGTATCGCTACACGAGTATGTGGCACTATGTTTGAAGTTGAAGGTTTAGCGTCTTATGTAAAACTTGACGTTTTCCTGCCATTGAACCACAGTAACAATACCTAAATGAATTACATGTCTGAATGAGATATTTCACTATTTTTGTTGAATAAGTTTATCATACTTAAAACAATAGGCACTCTATAATGTTACTTAAACGACAGCATAATTTGTGTTCGAATTATGAATTAAATATGTCGATTTAATGTTGAAACTATTTTATTACATAATTTGTTGTATGGTTATGAGGTGAATATAGGTTATAACATATATGACGTTAAGCTATTTGTTTTGCTAGTTTTTATTGTTTGTGTTTGTATGTCTCTGTTTTCTATGCTCACCTTTCATGCTTGACAAACCTTTGACAACTGTTTCTTTGTCTGCCTTAATTTTTATCATTGATTTCTTAAAAAAATTGAAACGTTACATTAACATGGAAAAATACACCACAGATATAACTATAGATCTGAATTGCATTTGCTTTCGCGGCGTTCTCGTATTCTTTGAAAAATGTGCGTTATATTTCGTGTGCGTCCTTTTTGCGCTTTAGTAAAGCAGTCAAAAATCGTGATGATTCCAATAACAAGTCATCAAATTTAAAGGAAATGTGTTTGTTTTCAGTGAAATAGATATAAATCTCATATCAAAGTGAGACAGATAACACAGGTGTGATTTATAGTATATTCACTTATTATAACGCAAATAAGTATATTCAATGTTTGTAATCAAAGTTGGAAAAGGCCATGTTAAACTTTTCCATTATTTTGTTTTACAGTGTACAAATTAGGATATTTACTAAATACAAACAGATATTCTTTATTTACATATATTCCTCATAGATAAATGTCATATTATTATGTTCCTCATATAAAAAAAAATTATACTGCTTCGATTAAAGGTATCACCATTGACACCATGACAAGATTGGTTTCAGTAATTTTGGTGTTAATCTGTCAGAATGGTAAGCAGCTTTTATGATAATTTAATGCAAGTCTACAGCAATATACTGTTTTGTTATTAAATAGAACATGAAATAAAGTATGCTGTATTGGATATCTTGAAAAGGTCCTTAATTCATAAATTATTTCAACTGCGTGTTTCTATATTGTATATATTAGTAAATGCTCATATTTTCATCAATACGATAATTAATGTAAATAGAAATCTAGAACAGCTTTACTATTAATCAAAAACATATTGATTTCTGCTTTAGAATAATCAACACTGATCTGTTCAGATTTTTAATTTTGCAACAACGGGCAAATTATTGTGTTGCTAAGAAGAATATTATTACTGGGTGTATAGTTATTTATAATGATTTAAAAAAGCACCAAACATGTTGTTATCAAATGCATACACAATGAAACATGTTGATTTTAGTTCTATATTAATTTTCTAGGATTATCGATACAGACATGCAGAGAGTGTGTATGTTGTAGAGATGGAACAAATAATTGTGATTCCAACAGGAATTGTGTTTATGGTTGTATCGACGGTTATTATGGTAGTAAATGCACAGCTGAGTGTCTGGAAAATTGTAAAACTTGTGTAAATAGTTTTGGATGTACAGAATGTAAACCTGGTTATTTTACATACGAATGTAATTTATCATGTGGGAATGGTTGTCTCAACAATACATGCTCAGTATTATCAGGAGAATGTCCTTGTAAATCAACAAACTTTGTGCATGGTAAATGTGATGCTTGTTCTGGTTTAATGTATGGCGATGAATGCAATTACTCATGTCCTAGTAACTGTGGAAATTGCATATCAGATACAGAATGTGAATGGTGTAAAAACACGATTTATCACGGGTCATATTGTCAGTATAGATGTTCGGTTGGATGTATCGGCGGAAGATGTGATAAAAGAAATGGACATTGTACTGCGGGATGCAACCCTGGTTTTATTGGAGATAAATGTGACACATGCTCACCTGGTTTATATGCACCCTATTGTGATTTGAATTGCAAGGAAAATTGTAAAGCATGTTTTGGGGCAACAAATTGTACAGCATGTAAATCAGGTTTTTATGGTGAAACTTGTACAAATACCTGTCCGTTTGGTTGTAAAGGAAACTGCTCATTTGCAGATGGACGCTGCCTTGAATGTAAATTAGGATTATTTGGAGAATTCTGTAACATTACATGTAAAGATGGAACATATGGTGAAGATTGTTCTGAATTATGTCGTAATAAAGATGTAAATTGCCAAGTGTGTACTTTAAATGAATTGGGTGGTTATGGGGGCTGCACACAATGTCACAGAGGTTATCACCCAGTGATTTTCAATAATTATAATCATAGCATATGTAAAAGTTGTCCAAAAAACTGCAATGGCAATATTTGTGATAATGCAGGATTATGTGAAGATGGATGTGTTCGAGGAAAATGGGGAGATACGTGCACTGATAATTGCAAACCAAATTGTGTAGAATGCAATCAGAGAGATGGGAAGTGTTTTCAGTGCACAAATGATACATTCTCAGATGATTGCTTACAAAAGTGTAGCGCAAATTGCAACATGACCGACAATGACCGCGTTTGCGCAAGAGATACAGGGACATGTTTACACGGATGTAACACGGTTGAAAAATATGGGGAATATTGTGACAATCAATGTAGTAATGCTTGCATCAATAAAAGCTGCATCTGGAAAACGGGACAATGTTTAGAAGGGTGTGAGATGGATTTTTACGGATTGTTTTGTAATAATTCTTGTTCTAATTCATGTCTTTCTCATACCAGTAAACGTACATGTGATGGGATAAAAGGCCATTGTTCATTTGGATGTAAAGCTGGTTTCCATGGCAAAAGATGTGACAACATATGTAGTAGCCTATGTGTAAATACAACCTGCAACCAAACAACAGCGGAATGTTTATATGGCTGTATAGATGGATTTAAAGGACCAAAATGTGCTGAAGGTAAGTTAGTCTTGCACAACAATAAAAATTCTATAAAATATTATCCGAAAAGCAAATATTTTAAACAATTTAACACGGTTATTAGCGAACTTCCGGTTATAAGGAACAATATTTTTGGCCCGAATTTTGCCCTTCTTTATTTAATATAAAAATATACGGTTACAGCGAACACGGTTATAAGGAATTATCGCTTATAAGGAACACATTTTTAGTCCAAATTTAGTTAAAAGTACAGAAAATTACACTTTTATAACGAACTCCAAAATATCGGCTATCCGTAAATAGATCCCGTATTTTAAACTTTCGTTTTCATTGTCACCCGTCCGAATGTACCGTTTACTGTTGTATGTACTTCAAGACATCTATTAAAATGAATTTGTATAGCAGTACGTAATAGCATAATCAATTGAAAACTACAAAGTACGTTTGATTTAAATGGAAAAAAAATCTTAAACAACCTCCGGAATAAGTTTGCAAATCCGGAATTTTCGCAAACTCAACTACCCTTTTTAACATAGTTTCAAAACAAAAAGTTAAATCAAACAGTAATTTGGATGAAAATAGACGATTATTGACCGATTACACAAAGATAGCGCAATAATTAAACGCTGGGTGAGCGTTCAAAGTGTGACCTCCCATGGGGGTTTTCAATTGTCCCACGGGTTTTTACGTATCCCACTGGGACTTTAGTGGGGTTGAAACCCCATTTCTTAAAGTGGGAGAATAAAACCGTGGGAGGAAAAAGATTTTTTTTTTCTAAATATTTACATGTGTTGAATATATAATACTTATAATAAAATTATAAGTATTCGAGGAATATATTTTAAGAATTTTGCAATTCTCCCATTGGCTGAACTAACCCATTTAGTAAATGGGAGAAATCTCCCAAAATTATAATTGTGCGGAAACCTCCCAAAATTAAAATGGGAGAAATCTCCCATGATGGCTAACTTGGAGAAATGCCCCATTAGAGCGTAAAGGGGAGAAATACATTAGGGGAGAATTCATCTTTGTTTTACTTATTGGATCGGAAGTTTAACAGTAAAAGTTTTTCTACATGTTAATATTCGGTTCGACCTTTTTAAAATGAAATAGGTCCGGTCCAATTAGTTATTTATTTACTCAATTAATTAATCATTATTTATTTACTCACTTAATTAATTATTAATTTATTTATTAGTTAATTAATTAATTCTAAATAAATAAATAAATTCATTCATTCAATTAATTATAAATATATAAATAAATAGAAAAATAAATAATTAAATTAACATATTGATAAATCAATATATTAATAAACTAATAAATTAATACACTTATTAATTAAATAAAGAAATCAATAAATAAATTAATTAATAAATTAATAGATTGATAAATTGATGAATTAATAAATAAATAAATTATTTTTTTAATAAATTGATTAAATAAATAAATTAATTAATTGGTTTATGAATTAATTCAGTCATTAATGTTACAAATGTCCAATTAGTCTGATAATGAATTAAAATATATCTGAAATATTATGATTTCGCTTGGATTATTGCCTTAAGTTTAATAAACATTAATAGCGACTGTTTTTTTTAATCATTTAAATATATAAATGTATATTTCTATCCATTAATTTATAGTATTTGTTCTGTGTAGTTAGTTATTATTCATAGTAGGATATAATTTTATGATTAGTATGATATTTTATCGTGTTATTATAAATGTTTTACTAGTCTCTTATAATTCAATGATTGAATGGTCATGTACTTTTCTGTGTTTTATGTTTGCTTATGAATTTTATTTGTGTATGTGCATGAATGAGACTTAAATAAATAAATATTATTATACATTGTAGAAATACTCAAACAAATTGTTTAAACAGTATGACAGTCAATTTAGTTAATTAATTCTAAATAAATAAATTCATTCATTCATTCATTCAATTAATTATAAATATATAAATAAATAGAAAAATAAATAATTAAATAAAGAAATCAATAAATAAATTCATTAATAAATTAATAGATTGATAAATTGATGAATTAATAAATAAATATTTTTTTAAATAAATTGATTAAATAAATAAATTTATTAATTGTATGACAGTCAACTGTACATTAAATTCGGGCGGTGTGTGGTCAGTGCAGTTCTAATTACCAATGAGATCAATTATCTTTTATTACCCTTCATGATGGGGCTTTTTCTTAACAGCATAATTATACACACACACACACACACACACACACACACACACACATGTGCACACACACGCACACACACAAAGAAAAAAAGAAAAAAACACGGTTTAAAAGAATAATTAAAAATTAAAAAAAGGAGAAAAAATGGATGTTGATCATTTGAAAATGAATAGTTCATATATAATAATGTAAGTTAACAAATTATATATACATGTACGCTAAATTGCAAATAACAGAAATTAGAGCGTTTAGGATGTTTTTCGTCTGCTTCATTGATCTCTTTCTTTCTTTGTTTACAATCCAGTTGAATAATTGAATGGCTATTTGTACTAAAAACGGCGTACTTGAAAATCGTGTAGGCACGTTCATTTAGATCACTTAAATAACAAAAGCATTTTTGTTTACATAAATATAACTTGTACAACACGCCAAATGAAACAAAACAGCATATATTTTGATGTATAAGGAAAAGAAATACACATAAGTATAACTGACATGAAGGTTAACAAAGTAAGGTAGGTATATTCCTACGTCATCAATTAAAATGGCAAAATAAGTTCCCGATAATTTATTTATTTATTTATTTATTTATTTATTTATTTATTCATTTATTTATTTATTTATTTATTTATTTATTTATTTATTTATTTATTTATTTATTTATTTATTTATTCATTCATTCATTCATTCATTCATTCATTCATTCATTCATTTATTTATTTATTTATTTATTTATTTATCAATTAGTTAATTTATTAATTCTGAATAAATAAATCAATAAATAAATAAATAAATTCATTCATTCATTCATTCATTTATTCAATTAATTATAAATATATAAATAGATAAAAAATAATAAATGATTGAATTAATATATTGATAAATCAATAAATTGATATTCTAATAAATTAATAAACTTATAAATTATTTAACTAAATAAATTAATAAATCAATTAATAAATAAATAAACAAATAAGTTAATAAATTGATTAAATAAATAAAGTAATTAATTAATTAATTAATTTATAAATTAATAGTTTAATTCATTCATTAATGTAGCCAATGTCCAATTAGTCTGATATTGATTTAGAATAGATCTGAAATATTATGATTTCGATTGGATGATTACCGTAAGTTTCATTAACAGTATGGCAGTCACCTGCACATTAAATTTGGGCGGGGTGTGGTCATTGCAGTTCTAATTACCAATGAAACCAAAGGAATTATCTTTCGGATATTAACTTGATTGGATAGCAACATAAATGACTGTCAGGTCTGATTGCCCCCCTAAAAGAATGTTGACACCACTTGAACGTGTGAAAAACATAACCATCGAATGTCATAAATTACGTATCATATAACACATCCTTTGATTCCCAGAGATCAATTAAGTTTTATTACCCTTCATGATGGGGCTTTTTCATAATAGCATAGACACACACACAAAACACACAGAAAAAAAACATATATAGTTACAGGGTTCTTCTTCACTCCTATATAAGGCTTAAAGGCACAGAGATTTAACTCGATGAAAACAAGAGCAACTACTCCAGGTTGAATAGTCGCTATTTGAACCTGCGATTTGTTCTTTATTTATATAAAGTCTTAAGAAATTTCATAAAAAATCGCATCATTTTCTCGTGTCAACTGTTGAAAAACCATTCAACCAATATCGTTGAAAATTCGATTTTGTACAACTTTGGAGGGTCTACTTTACATGTTTTAAGTTTTAAAGCCCTGACCCAAGTAATATGTCCAGGAGATTTCCGCGTGGCTTGGTCATTTTTTTGCATTGCGATTTGTTCTTTCTCTATATAAATTTCCGGAAAAACATCATTTTCACGAGCCTACCGTTCAAAAACCATTTAATCAATTCCGTTGCAAATTAAATTTTGTACAATTATGGAGGGTCTTCTTTACATGTTTAAAGTTTTAAAGCCCTAATCCAAGGAACCTGTCCAGGAGATTTCCGCATGGCTAGGTCATTTTCCGGCGATTTACTCTTTTGGTATATAAAGTGCATAAATTTTCGAGAAAAAAATCATTATTTTGAGCCAACCGTTCATAAAGTGGTCTTCCAACTTCATATCAATGTAAATCAGTTCTGGTGCGCGTGACAAAAAACGCGCTTGAGAGAGCTCGATCCTGCAGGAATTGATCTCATGTACACTTAGCCATTACAAAATGAACGCTACGTACTTAACCCTTTCGCTGCCAGAGGGTTATTGTTTTATTGTTTTCCTATTTGCCAGAGGATTTTCTAAGAAATTACTATATTATTAATAAATATAATTATTATTATTTGTTATAAGTATTATAATAATTATATGTTTCCAAATCTGTTAGTATTATAATAATTATTGTCGATGGTATAATTTTCTTTATATTTATTATTATTTTTATTATTATTATAATTAATTTATTATATTTATTAATATTATAATTATAGAACCGGCTAAAGTCGTCCATATGGCAAATACGCCGAAAGTAATAGGGACGGCTTAAGCAGTGAAAGGGTTAAAAATATATATATATATATATATATATATATATATATATATATATATATATATATATATATATATATATATATATATATATATATATATATATATTATATATATATATATATATATATATATATATATATATATATATATATATATATATATATATATATATATAGTGACAGGGTTCTTTCTTCACTCCTATATAAGGCTTAAAGGCACAGAGATTTAACTCGATGAAAACAAGAGCAACTACTCCAGGTTGAATAGTCGCTATTTGAACCTGCGATTTGTTCTTTATTTATAT